AGGACCAGCACAACTTCCCCTTCTTTGTCATCCCCGGTATGTGCCAAGCCTCCAAGCATTCTTTAACTGAGGCAGGCATACTCCAGCTGACCTCTAAGCACTTTAGAAAATAGTTCCATATCTCTCCTACGAACTTGCAATGTAAAAACAGATGATTAACTGATTCCATCTCCCCGCTGCACAGGCTGCAGTTCAAGTCATTGCATGGAAAACCTTTCTTCAACAGCATTTCTTTTGTTAGGCATTTCTCTAAAACTGCCACCCAAGCAAAAAATTTAACTTTCATGGGTGCCACTGTCCCCAAAATGACCCGGCTAGGAAAACATGTACCATTTCCACCTACTAAATATCTGTAGAAGGATTTAACTGAGAATACTCCTGATTTCTGCCATTTCCACACTCTTGAATCTGGCACATGACCTCTATCCCCATCCAAACTAAAATCATCCCTGATTTCCTTCTCCACAAATTCTCTTTCCAGCCAAGCATTCTTGTCTTTTGACAAAACAGAACCATCCCAGCTACTTAACATAAAGTTTTTGTTTCCTTGGAATACAATTCCTTAAAGAATTTTAGAATGACCTCAACCATTTCCTCTATGTCTTCCACCTCTCTTTGCCCCACCTTCAATTTAGTAATGAGATTTTTCTGACACCTCCCTGAGGCATAACTATGGAAGAATCTAGAATTATTATGACCTTCCTTTTGTGATCCTACTTTTGATCTCTAGATTCTCTACCTCAAAAGCACTTATTCCCTTCTCACTACCTTGTCATATTCTTTCCTTAAAGCCTCCCTTTTAATCCTACCATCTTCATCGAAGACCTCGCTTTTCTCCTTTTGGTCAAGATCCTCCATCTCCAAAAGAACTTTGATTTTTTTCGTTTAAAATTTCTTTAAATTCATCTCTTTCCCAATGTTTTAGCTTCCTTTTCAAATATTTCAATTTTTGCAAAAAGCAAAAGCCTACCCATCCTTCCACCCTACATTCTCCCCACCAGGTAGACACGTTTTGCTGGAAGTCCTCATGTAAAGGGCACACCTTTTCCAATCTGAAAGGGGTTTTTCCTGTAGACACTAATTGAGTTTGTAGAGTAACTGGCCAATGATCGGAGGTACACCAATGTCTAATTTCCTGAACAAGGGTGGGAAAATGTTCCTCCTAATCTGAGGTCATCAGAAATCTGTACAGTTGCAACTTATTACATTTTCCCACAAATTTGACCAAGTAAACTTCCCATTGTGGAGAGGTAAATCCTAGATGTTGTGCCTGGCAATAACCCTCGAAAAATCCCTCATACTCTCTGTTAACCATATGCCATTAGAATTTGCATGACAAAACCTTGTGACATTGAAGTTCATCTTATCTTGATCCATGCAAGTCCGGTTAAAAGAGTACCTTATGTGCATGTCATGCATGCTAGAATTCACATCTACTCGTTGATGCTGCTGTTTATATTATTGGTAGTTCTAGTGAAAAGCAAAACTGTGCATGGTAGTATAGGATTTTTTTTGAAGAAGCTTGTCTTAAATAGGATAATCAATGCTATTGATTACACTTGTGCATTCAATGGGATACCAGGATAGAACTAAGAAACTCAAATCAACTCAACAAAGCCTTATCCCATCATATGCATTAAGAAATGATTCAAGGAAAATATAAAGGAAAAATTCAAATAAATTCAGACAGAAAGACACTTTTTATAGGACAAGGCCTAAGTGGCTATAAGAGTATAATGGAGGATTATGGTGAACGCATGGAGGACATGCATTTGGAGAAAGATACTAAATGAGGAATATGATTTTTGAGTTTGCAACACAATATGATCTTCTAATAGCAAACATATACCTCAAAAGAAGGCACTCCAGCCCCTTTTCCAACCTTCTTAATACTCCATGGAAATAAGAGACTTTTTTAAATCAATACCAGATAAGTAGGAAGAAAAAAGATATATTGTCTATTACTGTTTTAGCAATTAAAGCGTGTGTGTTTCTAATGAAATTTGAGGTAGAGGGCATTTGATTATTGGAAAATTGGAATGGCATGGTACTCTTTTCAATTTAGTCATTCTCCAAGGGATTCCAACACATCAGCTACTCATTCTCCAGTCAGTTACATGGGATCTATACTTAAACTGAAAATATTTACCAGTTCTACATCCTTTCAAATGAATATCTAGTGAAAGGAGAATCATTTAAAAACAAAAAAAAGGAGAATCATTTGCCTCCATATTTTTCTTCTTGATGATCACACCTTGCTTCAGTATCTGTATCACTTGTCTTTTTGTTAACAGCATTTGGGAACATTTCATTGTTTTCTTTGGTGCTAGATGGAAACCTCCATAGGATGTAGAATGTAGATACTCTGTTGCAGCCCAATTTTTTCTCAACAAGTAAGAAAAGAGGAAAGATTATGTAGAGATGCATGACAGAAGGCACCATATGAATAATATGGGAAGAATGAAACTCCAAATTTTTCTCAAATAAAAATCAATCTAATGAGGTATTAAGATATTTGATAAAAATTCATCAGGTGAAGACTAGAAAGGATTTCTCCTGTTTCACCATAGATGATATCCTCAGAGAGTGACAAGTGGTGGCATCAATATCTACTAGAAGGGATAAGAGTACCCCTGCATGGCACTCTCCATTAGATAGAATAAAAATGAATTTTGATGGCTGCAGTATTTGCAAATCCAGGTCAGAAATAGGTGGTGTTTTTGGAGATCACGAAGGAGGCATTACATTGGAATTTTGAGGTCTAATGGGTGCTGGAAACTCAGCAAAGGCAGAAACACAATTTGTGCAATAAGGACATAGATTGGCAAGGACAGGGATCCAGAACTTGGTTATAGAAGGAGACTCACAATCAATTATTGGCTGATTGAAGGGAGAAATGGAAGGACCATGGCATTTAAGGCACCAAGACGCCTGGCTATTACCATAAAAGTAGAGTTTTCTTGGATCTCTTCGTCTGCAAACTCCTTTGAAGATTCCTTAGATCCAAATGAGGTAAATGAACAACCAGTGACCGGGTGTGGGTATCCATTAGTCTAAAGGAAGCTTCTGCTTTTTGCTCTAACAGGTGAGGAGAGATAGAATAAGTATCATACCATAAATACCCTGTATATTCTCTCAATAGAAACAAAATCATTATCAGTTACTGATGAAAAAAAAAGGTATCACTTACAAAAATGTCCCTATTTGATGATAGAACTTAAAAAAGGTAAGTTTGAATTTAACCAAAATTAGGTAGTCAAAACATGCCAAATGAGAAGCCTCAGTGCCTATGTTGGTTTTTCTTCAAGAACTACATTTTCCTTTCTAATTCAGCCCCACTTACCATAATATGGGCAATTTGGAGAATTTTACTAGCAATTAAGTATCACGGTCTATAAGTACAATGTAAAAATCTCAGATATCATATAAACACAATGGCATATATATCCAGGAAGAGGTTCATTGGACTACATTTCTCTGAAATTAAAGAAAAATGACTAGGCAAATTAGCAAATACAAATTCATATAAATTTCAAGTAAAATTGGAATATTATAGTTAGAAAACAAGCATATGGAAGATCAAAAGATCACTAAAACAAGCACAAGAAGTCAACTGCAAATTAGCTTTTCAATAATGGAGTAAAACAAATAAGAAAAAAAGAGAACAGGAAAAGAGTAAATACTACTAGCACTGACCATTTTCAAACTTGTTTGGGACATCCCAAATTGGAGGTCCAGCACTCGAGCTGCATTGCTTTCAAAGTGTTTACATACCTTCCATTTTAGTGGATGTGGACCTAAAAGATAGAGGGATAAAAAAAGATGCCTCTTATATTATTGTCAAATATGTAGCTATGCAACAGATTTATATTTGAGGAATAAAGGACCAAAAACTAACAAAAGAGTCAAGAAGAAGCAAGTGCGGCCCCTTTCCCTAAGATGGGTAAATGGGAATTCCAAATACAAAGCACTATATTGAGAGAACTACAATTCAGAATATTCAAGGCAGTCTTACCACTCAACCTCATGGCCTAGATGCTTACTCTGTCCATTCCTCCCACCCCC